ATCCACTTTTATTGAAAGGAATTAGAATGTTTACCCGCAACTCTGAATTAAAGCACGTCTTATAGGGGAGGAGAGGGGAGAGGGGAAAGGAGTAATGAGAAGGCAAAGTGATGGGAATGAGGGAACGTGTGTCCGATGGATGGTCAATGCTTGACTACCAGTGTCTGTAGCTAATTACCTCAAGTTCGAGTCACACATTGCCTCTGATAGATAATTCCATTAACTTTCAAATGAAAACGTACCAGAAATGCCTTTTTTAGACTGTAGGAAGCACTTTGATTATCTGAAGGTTTTGCTTATGACGACGAAACAGGCAGCATATTTCCACACTGAATTGCCCAAATTAAGTGAGATTCGACAAAAGAAATTGTACAAGGAAATGCATAAATGGTCAAGTGTTTTGATAGGGACTGCCAAAGGGGGAGTGGGCAAGGGGATTATTCATTTCATGCCATCCCACTTACGCCTGACCGTTTTCACCACGCTCTCATATGAGTGCTTTACTTGGGGAAACGCGTGTTGGACACCCTCTCGTAATGACCCTTGGACTCGACAAGCTTATGACATCCTGATATACTTCCACACTTATATGACTCGGTGAAGCTCACCGCCTTTACGGGCAATTGTGAAGGATGTGAGCAAGCATCTAGAACTTAAATTTAGTAAATTAATTGGTACGAAGACAGTTCTACTTTGCAACCCCCAAATGATTGTACGGCTTCCATATTTTTGCGCTGGGTGTACTTCGTAATTAGCTATGCGGAACAAAAGACGTGGATACGAACGTGATCAGCCCTGGTGTCAGCTCGATGCCATTAAGTCCTGTCCTTGATCACCTCAAGAGTCTAAGCCTTACAGCTAGTTTTGGGGAAGGACAGATTGCTTACTGCTTTTCATTAATACTCTGGTCAGTTATTTTCAGTACTCCTTTCAGATGCACAACCGCTGTCCCCATGGAGATGGTCGCCTATTTTGCACTTTGCCATCTTTGTGGTTCACACCTATTATAGCCATCTTCACTGTGGCTATCCTAATTGGTGAGCCAGAATGCAGGCGTAAACAGCGAAACAGGGATTTATTGAGGCAAATTACGATTATGCTGGCAGCTCAGCATTACAGACTCTTGCTCATGTAAGTGGTGCCAGTAGCAATTGGATGAAGGAGGAAGGAGGGAGAGGCAATCGACCGTTCCTTGATTGCCCATCACTTCACATTGCTTCGCATATCTGCTTGACAGCTCACCTGCTCTGGAGACAGATAAACGACTTCTAGGTGAGCCTAAAGTTGGATTTAATCGACTACTTATAATGGAAACGAGTAGTTATGGCTTGCACAGTCGCAGACACTTCAGCCAATAAATTTGTGTGTGCATTGTCGCAAAAGCGTGTTTTGTATCTGTTTACCGCTTCGAATGAGGCAACTTAAAATGGGCAGTTATGAGTAATATAGCGCTTCATTATCTACACGTCGAATGATTTTGGCATCTCATATTGAGAACATGGAAAGACTTGGCTGCTCACCCCCACACAGGTACTTCCATGTCCAAAATGGTGGTGGACGAGTCAAGAGGTGATTTTTCACCTTGAAGTAGT